TTTAAAATATTTTATATTCTTTAACATATAACTAATAATAATTCTAACTTAAATATATATTTTAAAACACTTTTGTCTTTTATATGTTTACATGCAATAAAAGTTTTAAATAACAAGATTAAATAAAAACAAAATTTTTAATTAAAGAAGAAAAGCATCACGTTTCCACATTTCCTTTTACTTCCAACGAACTATTTATTACTCGAGCCTAAAGAGAAATATAAATTTGTTCTGTTGTAATATTAATTGTTGTAATGTTAATTCGTTCATTTTTATATAACATTGAATATAACATTGAAATAATGAAATATTTTAAAAATAACAATTGCTTCTAATTAATAACACAAAACTTGTTAAAAATTTGCTCTAAGATTGTTAGATAATGATGTTTGTTTTCGACTTTTGCCAATTGAATCTTAATTCGCTAATTACCAATGGATTTAAAATCTTCTTTAGATTCAAATAAATCACCGCACAGTCGGCAATGTAACGGCAGATGTTTGTCCACTATATGGCACAACAATTTCTCATCCTTCAAATTCAGTTTTGCGGACTCATACTGTCGTATCGGCAGTATCTTAGAAGCGCACAGTGAACAATTGACATTCACATCGGGATGCGCTTTGTCTACATGACGATCGCGACACTTCATGCAACAAAATGTCTTTTTGCAAAACTGACATACTCTGTTCACCTCCCCAAAATGTGAGATCTTCGAAAATCGATGTGCAACGCTTTTAATAAATATCTTGTCTCCCAACATATCCAACCGCGATTGCCAAGACGATCAGTTGTTTACTAATCAAATGACAAACCGTTCACATCCGTGAAATAATAAGAAGTAAACAGACATCTATATATATATGTATAAAAGATAATATATGAAAATAAGAATTTGTATTCCAAATACGAACATATACATCATGTTTTCATCAAACTTGTACCTACAATTTGTCAAAAACGAAAGATAAACGTGGAATGCAATTTCGTTTAATAATTAATTAGTATTTAAAAATTAAAAATTTTAACTTTTATTTTACATTCAGAAGAAATTACCATATATTATATTTTTTTTTCAAGACAAAATGAAAAAATTTTATTTAATTGTAAAAGTCAAGGATTCTACATTCGATTTCTGGAAAATAAGTCAGGGATATAACAATGTTTAGGATATAAAAATTGCTTATATTATTATTTAATAATTAGAGTAACACAAAAGAATAGATTATTTTACACTTATTATTTTCTTCTGCCTTAAGTAATTAAATAAGTTAAATATATTAACTTGATTTAAATTTTGCATTAATCTCTTTTCTCGTTACTCTTACTCTCATTGTACGCGATTTTCGCGCTTGTACTCGGTTCATTATCAGAATCATCATCCCTAGGAACAATAAATACTCGTTGGATTTCGGATGATAATGATTCGCTTTCATGTTCGATCGTCACATTGGCGTTGGTCTTGTTAAAGTCGATGTTACAATCGGAAATGTCAAGCTGATATAAATTTTGTAATGCATCAACGACTATTTCGTCATCATCATTCTGCGTGGTTTTTGTAACTGTGCTCGGCTTATTGTCGGAATCATTACACACAGGAATGACTAATGATTGTTTAATTTTAGATATCGACGATTCACTTTCATTTTCAATCGCCATTTCAATGTCGATCTCGCTGAAATCGGTATAATTGGAAGCGGAAGCATTTTCCTCAGCCTTTTTCCTATTTTTTAACAATGCTTCTTCATAAGGTGGTGCAATGGGAGCTTGCACCGGTTCATGATATTTGTATTCCTTGCCTTCGTACTGAAAACAGATTATAATAAATAATAAAATAATATAAAACGAATAAAAAATAAAAAACTGAGACGTAACAAAATAAAAAAGATAAGATATAAGAAGACACAGAAGGATTGTTAAACGAGTCTAATTTCACAGTTTCAAACAAAAATATATAATATTACTACTACTCACATTTAATGGATAGCTCATGTCAGAATCGGGCTGACTGAGATCTCCACACACAATGAATGGAACAATGACCCTATTCACTCCTGTCAGTTGGTTGAAGTTGCATGGTTCGTCTGTCAACCAAGGATTTAACATGTTCGGCTTGTAGCCTTCTGGCGGACTATAGTCCTTACAGACCACAAATGCTTCTATACTTGAGTTGCGAGAGCTGCTAGGTTTCGTGCAGTAGACGTAAGGGAAAAATATCCTCAATTGAGCGTACAGAAGTGTCACGTCTTTGGCGCGAAAGATTTTTGCGACAAACGTTCCACCAGATCTGAGAATATGTGTAGCTATGTTCAAAGCAGCCAGTAGCAGCTGTGACTGAATGAATATATCCATATCATGTAGGCCAGTCACTGCAAACAGAATAAAATTCATTGATTATTTCATAAAAATCTATTGAGATTTTTTGAAAAATAAAAAGAAAAATGTAAAGCACATACCATCAGGTGCTCCATCACATACCACCAAGTCTGCTCGAGTATTATCAAAGTGTGCAATAATCTGCTCTGCTGTGCTTGTGTTGGTAATGTCACCCTGTAATTGGATAACTCCTTCCAAAGGTGCCATTGCTTGCAAGTCAACTGCAACAATTTTCGGAGGAGATGCAGGACCTTTTTTTAAAGCCTCCTTGTAATTTTCGCTTTAAGAAAAATGATTATTTTAATATGTATTAAACTTTTTTATTATACAGCATAGATTATTTATTTTTGTACAAAATGTACTTACTTTAGCTTCCGTGCTAATACTTGGCTCCAACTTCCAGGAGCAGCACATAAATCTACCGCTTTGGATACTCCTAAAAAATAAAAAATATTCTTTTAATGATATAAATGCTTTTCTCAAAAGTTGTTAGATCTGAAATTTTAATTTGTAATATAATATTATGTAATTTTAATTTGTCTTTTGTAGTGTGTTTTTTTCACATCCTTTTTTCATCACTAGAATCATACAATCAATTGTAATTGAAAAGATGTGATTAAATATAAATGAAAAGATTTATTTATTACTCATTGCTGTACATACCATCAAAAATGTGACACTCCGAGTCAATTTGAAGTAATTTGAAAGCACTTCGGGCTCGCCATCCCTCTTCCTTCGCTTTTCTATAATATATATCCCGCTTATCTTTTGATGTTTTTCCCATTGTTGCAATATTTTTGGTGAAAATTAAAACTTCTATGGCACAAATATATCTTGGGTATTTTTTCTTGCTTCAAAAAAACCTGTAATGCATATTTTCTTTATATACTTTTTGTATTGTCTTTAATAACTTTTTTCAAATATTTAAGTATCACAAGTGTCAATAAACTTCTTTAACATATATCTAAATCTCAAAATGAAAAATATTCAAATTATTGAAAATATTCAAATTATTGAAAATATTCAAATTATTGAAAATATTCAAATTATTCAAATTATTGAAAGTTGTGTTTTTTTATGTTACGAGGAACATGTAGCAAGAAGTTATAATTATAATCTGAGAAACAATCAGCTAATTCTAACTGCTTCTCCAGAGAAAAACATAAGAAGCCTGAATTATACTTGCATTTTAGTTAGAACCTGTCCAGTGTCTCCTTACAAAAGGTGCACGTTGAACGATATATAGTCATGCCTATAAATTTGTTTTCTGTTCCTGTACTGGGTTGCACTAAAATTTTCTATCTCATTTTTGTGTTTCTATCTCCACTTCAAATATATATTTCTTTTAATTTAAATATAACAAGTGTACACTAGTTCAGCTATAAAAAAAACAGACCTGGATACAGACATGAATACTTTCGACGAATAACATGCTATATGCAACGATTTTTGATTCTGTGTCGTGCTACATGAGGTCTTCTTCTTTTTCTTCTCTTTTTATATTGGCTATGATTCTAAGTGAATCAAAACAGATCAGTAGACAATAATCACAATGATAATACAAAATCGAAAACAGACTAAACAAAATCAGAATCGAAAAGCAAGACTGCTACACGAAGTCTAGCGTTTGCTAACATTGCGCATGTGTGAATATTTTCATCCCTTCCATCTTCATTTTGTGCAATGCATGTATCGGGTGTGCGTTTCTATAGCGCTAAATGTGAGGTTATGTGACACGTGATGTAAAAGTCATCTGAAATAAATTAAGGACAAAACGCTACAATTATTTAAATGCTGAAGGCACTACAATCATAAAAAAAGGGTGAAGCAATAACGATTTTCTTTGTGAATATAAAAAGGTAAATTGTATTACATAAACAAAATATTGTATATATTTTATTGTACATATTCTATTAAATTTATTTGTAATTATTTAATTTATTTATCCCATTTTTGAATGAACGTGCGCAACGATCTTCCAAAATTTCTGATTTTCTGAACATTTTTCCAGAGAGCAACGTTAGAATGTCATCCTGGAAAAAAGCCGCAAAGGTAGGCCGAAAAATCCATCGGGAACGTCCTCAGCCAGAGGATCATGTGGGGTTTCTGGAAAGGAAGAAGGACTGGATTGCCAGGGCCAGAGACTTCCAGGAAAAGCGGGACACAATCAAACTTTTGAGGAAGCGTGCGCTAAACAGAAATCCAGATGAGTTTCACTTTCATATGATTAGATCTAAAGTAGTAAAAGGCGTTCATCGGGAGAAAGACAAAGAGGATCAACACACACCTGAACAGATCAAATTATTGGAGACACAGGATCTTAAATATGTAGCATACAAGAGGAATATTGAAGCAAAAAAGATAGAAAGGTTGCAAAGTCAGTTGCATATGATTGATGCAGTCAATCAGATACAGAATCAACATACTTTCTTTGTCGATAATAATGCCGAGATGAAGAATTTTGATCTTGCTAAAAAATTGGATACACATCCAGCACTCTTGTCAAGACGCACTAATCGACCAAAGCTGAGTGTGATCAAAGATATGAAGCTGCCAGATTTAAATAACAAGACTATCGCCAAACTCGAGCAACAACGGCACATGCTCTACAAGGAGCTTGAGAAGAGAATTAACAGAGAACGCGAACTTACGATCGTGCAGCAGAAGTTGGAGATGCATAGAGCATTGAAAGACAAAAAAATCAAGAAGCCCAAATTAGTGAAACCTGGCTCAAAAGATGCTGCGCCTATTTATAAATGGAAATTTGAAAGAAAACGATAACTTATCTGTGTTATTAATTATAATTAGGAATAATATAATATTAATTATAACTATGAATGTTGAATGAAAATTTATAATTTTTTTAATTATTTGTGATCAATTGATAATAAAAATTCGCGTTTTAACTTCATAACCAATAAATTATTTAACTAAATAATACACTAATAAAAATGATAAAATCCGTTCCTTTTAATTTACGTGATTTATTAATATCTATCTATTATAGTAACATAATAGAAATAGGATATATTGAAGAAATGAATATAATAATGAATATATGTTTTATATAAGTATAAGGTATTGTTAAAACCTGTTGTTGTCATTTTTAATTCAGTCAAAAGTTAAAGTTAAAAACTCCTTCAATTTTTTTATTTTTACTTATTTCTTTATTTATTATTTCATAATTTTCTAAAAATGTATTATTCATCTTCTGATATCTTTAATTTAATTATATCTTTTTTATTATTTCCTCCAATATTTCATTTTTTTCGCAGAAATCACAATTATTCGTCATTTAATCGGTATTGACCCTTGGGGAATGATTTCGAATATATCTGTTATATCCTCTACTTCTCTTAGCCTTTCACTTCCCGTGCTATTCATATCCGATATTTGCGTAGTTGATTCTGTCATTGATTCCATTGTCAATGCATTTGATGCTGTCATTGATTCCGTTGTTAATGCATTTGATGTTGTCATTAATTCCGTTGTCATTGTTGTCACTGGCGATTGTCCACTTTCGGACATGGATGTTTCTTCGATCGCAGTGTCCGTCATTCTCATCGTGTTGCTATCTGACACCGTCGGTAATTCTGTCGATATGTTTATACAATCGTAATTGATCTGCCAAAGTTGCTTCTTGGCATAAATATCCAGGCGAAGACAAGCCATAATGGACCTGTACAGAAAGATCACGTCTTTAAAAATTGCAAGAATGTCCAGAAACATTCAATAAGTATGGATAGCTTCAGCAGCATCAAAATAATATTTTATAAATTGCAAATTGAGCTTAACTACATTTTTAAAGTAATTCTTTTAATACGCGCTTATTAGATTGATTCAGCTCCAAGATGTTAACACACGCGGTCGAGAAAAGGCAACCAGGAACGTATACACAAAACTGGAGTGTCTTGAAATCTGTAAAAATAAATTCGCAAAAATAAAAAGTAATCTTGTGTGTGTGTGTGTGTGTGTGTGTGTGTGTGTGTGTGTGTGTGTGTGTGTGTGTGTGTGTGTGTGTGTGTATGGAGGGAGGGGAGAGGTAAATGTGTTAATAAGTGAATAAAATTTAATAGTAGTTCTCTTTAAATTATATATTGTTATGGTCTTTAATTTTAATATTCTTAGATTTATTACATTACGCAAATTGAAGTTGAAAATACTCACTTGTAACTGTTCTTGCGCTGATTGTATCTGAATTCAACGCGATATCCACGTTCAATCCATTTCTTTGATATGTGAAATTGACGCAGACTATAATATAAAAAATTAGCAATTCAATTTTTGATTATTTTAAATATCAAACTGAAGACTTCGGAGACTCACGATCTTTCTGTCTCTTAGTATAAAGAATCATGACGCTTTGGCAGCAAGAGCAAGAAAAGGACATCGGACATTTGCATGTTTGTTGAATAATCGAGACCGTTCTATAAATTAGATATCCTCTTGATACGTTGATGTCTAATAAATATTCCATTAATTAGTTTTTTAAAATTTATAGTTATTATAGTTTTTTAAAAATTTATAAAATATAATAAAATAATTTAATTATTTCATCTGATATATATTTAATAAATGGTGTAAAAAACTAGTTTAGAGAACTTCATGAATTGCTAGATAAATTATAATGTCAATAATTTTGACAACAATAAGATTTAATATTTATTTGTTATTTATTGTTAAAAACTTGACTTTTTTTGATCTATTAATTAGTATAATATTATATAAAATTTTTGAGATCAATCTTATCACTAACAAAATTATTGGATAATTTTGTTAGTGACAATTATTGATAATTATTGATAAGATTATGATAATTCATCAAAGATTTGTGAAACTTTTTAAAACGTGGTAATATAATTTAATTAAAAATATATCGAGGTAATTGCTAGTACTAACTTTTAATAGCGATAATTTCGTGAACGAGGCACAAGCAGATGAAGATCAGAGCACCGATACCACACAAATTCATATTTACATAAATTCATATCTACATTAATAATAACAGTTACATTAAGCAAACCCGGTTCTCGTGATGATATTAGCTTATTAACGAGTTACAACGACGTCTCGTTTCGCACTAAACGCTTTCTGTTTTTCGCTTTCCGTTCATCGTTGTACAGGATGTAATCACGAGCTATTGTGTTGTATGGGCCTTTATAAAATATCCGGTTTTTGTTCACTTTGACGGATGGGCGTGAAATTCACTACTTTTTATTTGTGCACATGGCATCTGTTTCTTATGCCTAAATCTATAAAATTAAAAATCTAAGTACATTGTAATCTAAATACTTTTGTAACAAAAATACATTTATTAGAATATTATTCAAGAATTAACGAAAAAGAGAATGACGCGATTTTTGCAAATAGAAATATATAACGCAAATTAAATAAAATATTATAAATTTCTTCTTTTTTATAATAAAATAGTCAAGCTTTAATAATTTCTATAAATGATTCTTTGATTCTTGCCTGCGCATAATGGAACAAATATTAAGAATAGGAATAAATATTAAATTTTGAAAATTAAAATTTGGAATACAAATTAAATGTAACGCACAATGAATATAAATAAGTATAAAATATAGTCTTATATTTATTTGTATTTATTGTGCGTTTAATTTTTATTCTGAATTTTTATTTCAAAATTTAATATTTATTCCTATTTGTAATATTTCCTCCATTGTGCGCAGGTTTTAATATAATTGTTTATTAAAATATAAAACAATAAATACACACATGGCACACCATTTATAATATTATTAGATCTGTTTCATAAATTATTATCTATTTCTAGAATATATCGTCATCGTCGTCATCATCATCGTCGTCATCGTCATCATCATCATAGTCATCTTCATTATCATCTACATCCTCCGGAAAAAGTTCTACTTGGCCCAAACCACCTCCGTCTTCTGGCTTTAAGAGAGCCAATCCGTTTGAGCCGAATCTGAGACAATCTAAACTCACCTGTAAAAAGAAATACAACAAATCATAAAGTATAAAATTATATAAATTATTTATGACGTTTTATACATAAAATATATAAAGTTTTTATTTGCGTTTGCTAGATTTAAAATTGTGCATCAATAAAATATTCATAAATTTTCAAATCTGACCTTAAACAATGTCGTAGCTTGATATCTTCCTTCCATATTAAGACATAGATGAATATTTCTACCTTGGAAGTAAATATTATAAAATCTAACGCAAGCTCTGATAATCGGTAGTCTTGGAACAGGAACACATATTGGTCTAGGATTCTTCCCTACAAAGACACAGTAAAACAAAAAGAGAAAAATATATTTTGCACAAAAATAACGATGATAAAATAAGTAACAAGTAATAATAATAAAATAATATAATACAATAAGTAATAATAATAAAGGTAATATAAAAGGGATTCAGACTTTTTATCAAATTTTTTAATCAATAGATTTATGTTCTATGCATTTACCAGAAACAGTTCTCGTATAAAGAACTCTATCGTTCATCATGATATTGGCGGTGAAACTGAACTCGTCGGGATCGTACGTTATATTCACGCAAGCTTTCTGCTTCCACGTATCGTATAGGATCCTCGAACAACATCCGCAGACACCGCCGCCACACTGACAGGGTCCTTGTCTGGTCGCGGTGACCGTGCCATTTCCTGAGCTTGAAGAATTCGAGGCCTGTCGTAATAGCGTTTTCAATTGTTGCAGATCTTCCTGCGATCCTGAAAGCTCACTGCCGACGATTTTTCCTGTTGTAAGACCTTCGTCGGCCCTTAATTCTAGAAGCGAGCACGATTGCGCGAAGATAATGATTAGCAGCAACCAACAGGCGGGCTTCATCCTATATCCTTGATCTTGTCCGTTTAACTGAGACGAGAGAACATCTCGAGATGTGCCTCCTTGCTGGACGATTGAAACTCGACTGGCCGGTTAACGGACACTTTACATTGACCTAGTTTTATGGTGAAATTTAGGCTTGGCTGCGAGTTGCTTGCCCGCATTTTGTGATTAACTAGAACTTGTCATGGAGAAACGCTAGGGTTCATAGAAAATATTGTCATGCTCTTAGACATCATTAGTTATTAAATGTGGCGAGGATAAAACAGCATTTTCATCATAAGTCAAAATCTCATAAGCTTAATTTATTAGTGAAAATGAAATTGATATGATTTTCAATTATTATTAATAACGGGAGGTTTGTGAAGATACTGTTTGTAATTAAAACAAGAAAGATTTTACTTAAAGAAAAGAAAAACATGGTTTAATTTCTAACAGTTTATTCAATGTTTCACAAAGTGGTACTTGATTATAATATTCATCTCTTTACATTTTTATTATATATTATATATTTTATTATAGCTATTATATTATCACAAATAAAATATATTATTTGATAAATATAATAAATATATTTGTAACATCATAATGATAATTTCTCATATACATATAATTTTGTAGTTACGTAGGCATCATAATTTTAATTGACCGATATGATCTTCCTCAAGCGTAACACTCGGAGTATGATTGTTTGGCAAATCAATAGAGTCTGGCTCGAAATTCACTTCGTCGTATACTTCCGGCCCATTCACTTCTGGCTTGTTCACTTGTTCCATCATCAGGACATTACTTTCAGGCTTCGTCCAAGAGATTCCACCCAAGCCGATCGATAGGCAATCGAAATGCAAAACCAAGATCGGCCATTGCCCCACAAGTGTCTCAAAGTCTAAACATGCGTGCACATTTGCACCGTTTAAGGCGATGTCGTAGAAACGCACGCACAAGGACAAGAAAGGGATTACAGGCACGCAGAATGGTGTCGGATTTTTAACTGTAAATTAATTTATTATATTATTACATTATGTAATGAATATATGAGAATAAATTATAATAGATTTAAATTTAATTAAAAGATGAAAACTTTATATTTATACTAATAAATAAACGAGGATGAATTTTTGCCATCAATTTTCGCAACTCAGACACACGTTAGACTTTCATCTTTAATCAATTAAATGATTGTTAATTATTAATTTTGCAAAAAGTTTAATTCTTTTATACTACGAGATGGATGTTAATTTTTTTATTAGAAAGAAAAGTCTATAATCATTTTTCTTTTAAAAAAATGTAAGTGAAGATTATTCCAGACTGAAAACATTAGATGAAAATTATTTAATTAGAATTACTTACGAGATATAAAATTTGAACTAAAAATTTCTCTGTTTAATATAAGTTTGGTATGTAAGGCAGAATCTTCGGGTATATAAGTAAAATTGTTGCAAACACGACGATCAAAATTATATTTAGTTATATTAACACCAATACAACAGCTACATGTGAAACCCTCGCATTGGCATCCTGCACCACGGAAACCAATTGCAATTACAGGACCACGACTGGTATCCTCTAAATAAGCTTCCAATCCTACTCCTGTGTTCGGATCATAGTATATCATATCATATTTAGTTACATCTGAAAGAAAAAAAATGTTTTAAATATATCATAAAATTAGAAAAAAATGCATTTTTTTTCTTTTAATAAAAATGATCATTTTTTCTCTTCAAAAATAATAATATTTTATAAAGCTAATTATAAAGCTAATTATAGAATTTTTATTAAACTAGTTGTTAGAAGGAAAATTAAAACAATAATTTATTCCTATTATAATAGTGCTACTAAAGTAGTGTTATTATTTTTATTAAAAAATAATAATTTCATTATCTATATTATAATGTAATATTTTTTATTTATAATTCTTCATTATAATTATATAAGTATTTCTTTGTTGAACAAAGCATTCACGAATTTTTTGTAATTTTTACCAACAAATATCACTAATTTTCATGTAAATTTTTATTATTAAACTTTAAAATATTTATTACAAATTTTTTCAATCTTCTTACCGATAAAATCAGTGGACGCAGTGATGTTCTGGACTATTAGAACCAGAAGAGATATGAAAAGCCACTTAGATAACATGATCGTATGACTGCACAACCTGCACGCTTCGATGTCAACGGTAGACTGAAATTGAGTACACGTTGGACCAAGACGCAGAGAGACCAGACTCATTAATTATACATCGACTTTCCACAGATGATAAGAGTAAGAATACGATAAAATAAGAGATTAGATAAAATAAGAATTGAAAAATTGCCATCATTAAACGATGTCAGACATTGCTATTAAAAAGCATCATCAAAGGTAGAAACAAATATGTATTTTTGTAAAAATAAATCTAAAGATTGCAGGCTTAAATTATATAGAATTTGTCATATTATAGAATTTGAAGAAAATTTGCTAAATCAAGAAATTATGTAACCCAAAATTATGTAACCCAAAATTTTTAAAGAAACATAATATATAAAAATTGAATCACAATTATTTTCGATAAAACAAAGATTCGTTTCGATAAAAATAATTCTAAAAAAAAAAGTATTCTTTCACAGAAATTCTATTTTTCTATATTTTTATACTTATGCTTCTGAAATCACAAGAAAGATATATCAAACCTTAATTCAAATTTAATGAAAAAAATATTAATTTAATGCGTGTTATTTAAAATGATATACTAGCTAATTTATATAATATTCAGCCATCCATTCGAGCATTTTTATTACGTAAGAGAAAGATTTAAAATTGTTTGACATTGTTTAAGAAAATGTTAAAGATAAAAATTTTGATTGTCTCAGTACACATGTCTTATTACCACGCATGTGAGTTAATTATTAAAATCTTGTTTGTCTTATTAGTAGGCATAAAAGTTTTATCTCTAATAATTTTGTACATATTACATGATATCAAACAATTTTAAATCTCAGTTACGTAAAAAAAGAATTTGAATAGTTGGTTGCTACGCGTGCTAGCGAGTTATTTGCTTGTTGTTTGTAAAAAAAATTTGTCTGAAAATGACATTTTTAAATATATCTTTTTAAACATATTTTAAACATCATAAAAAAATTAATAGTAAGAAAACTATTAACAGCATTCATAACATACTTTCATAAGAAATAATTATTTCATTATGTTTAGTTAACTAATATAATATATTAAATTTTTAATTTTAATAAAAAATTAATATTTTTTTTAGAAAAAATTAATAGCTAATAAAGGCACATAATATATGTAGCGCGTTAAATTTATTTATTTATTACAGAATAAATAACTTAAATACATAAATAATAAATAAGCATATGCTCTTAATAAATAACGTTAAACTAATCGAGCAATTTATTATGGCTGAGGTCACGAACAATTCATGTATGTATAAGTCTTTCTTATACATACATTCTTTAAATAACATTCTTTAAAAATATCTTTTATTAAATAAAAATCCTCCTAGAATCTTATTTTCGAAATATAAAATTCTCCCACTCACGCAATTCTATTTGAGCTTTCTTCTAAGAAAGCTCTACCATCTTTTCTATAAGATCTCAGTCTCTATATTATCTAATAAATAAAAAAATTAATCAAATAAGAAACAAGATAATTATAGCGAAATAAATCGCTTATTTTCCAACAATAAAATTAATTAACAGTTGCAAAATTAACGATTTTTTTTACAGTTGTTAATAATAAAATAATCAGGATGCCGTAAAAACACGTACCCGTTACTTTTAATAACCATCGTGACGAGTTGAGAAATTCACGGTTGATTCTTGTAATTCTTGTCTTATCATTAAAAAATAGGTCACATTGTCACAATTATATATCAATAATCTACTAAATCTTTTGACAAATGTTCCGCTGATTCGACTAAAACGTCTTGCTTTCGTCGGTTCAACGAATTTATGATCAGATAAGAAGGACGAGCTTTTTTTGACTTCCAATTAATCTACTGACTGGAGCAATGCACTGCCTCGGATCACGAGACTTCAAAGCCTCGTAATCTTACTTTGACGATTTTCACTCGAATGCCTTTTCCTAGCAAAAAATCCAAGATCGTAATCTTCATCGTCGTGCTTGTAAATATTAGTCTGATTTGTCTTCATGTCTTCTGTGTTCTTCTTACTTTTTCCACTACCAATAAGAGCACTCAACATGGCGTCTTCCTCCTCATCATCGTCATCATCTAACTCAGCAAGATCCTCGGCCTTCTCATCCTCATCATCATCGTGTTTTTCATCATCCAATTTATCCTCATCCTCCTCGTCTTCATCTTCATCATCGTCCTTATCTTCATCGTCGTCGTCGTCGTCATCCAGAACTTCGTCATCCTCGTCGTCAATATCTTCGTCGTCGTCGTCGTCATCCAAAATATCATCGTCATCATCATCATCCTCGTTATCTTCGTCTTTGATTGGTTTCTTTGCTGGCTTCTCAGTGTCATAGATAGCATTTACGCTGGTGGACGTTATCGTAGGTTTCTTCTTATTTCCAATAACTCCCTTTTTTACCTTGTTAACGGTTGGTGCCTTATTGGGTTTCGCGGTGTACACGATTTTATTGGAGGATTCCGTGATCTGTTCCTTGTTCTCATCAGTACTATCTTCGGTGTTGCTCTCAGTTAATCCTTCTTCTTCTTCTTCTTCTTCTTCTTCTTCTTCTTCTTCTTCCTTATGCGGTTCCGAGGTATTATCATCGTGTTCCTCGTCATCACTTTCCTGTTCGTTGTTGGCGAAAGTTGACAATTCATGATCTTCCAGCGGTGCAGGAGTCGTGGGCCGAGGTAGAATCGGTATAGTAAATTCCAGCAATGGCGCCGCAGTGGTAACTTTGGGTCTCGTCGGCGTGTCATCGTCACCAGTAAAGATGTCCAACAAAGCACTAAAACCCAACAGATCATCATCATCGTCATCGTCCTCTGACTCTTGTACATCGTCAACTCCCGAGGCATCGGAGACGGAATTCGTGATGGGTCTTTCGTCATCCTCATCGTCATCATCGTCATCATCCGAGCCAAGTCCGAAAAAATCATCATCGTCATCTTCTTCCGAAGTGGCTTCTGTCTCAACAATCGGAAGGGGCTCGGCTGGTCGTAGCTTCAGACCATCAGGACCAAATCTGAAATTCAAGATCAAATTACAAAACACTGCTTTTAGTTTAATGTTAACAAATCTTTTAATTAATCTTGTAAATTCTTTATTTTATCGTCCTTTGAATTTAGAGAAAAGAAATTTAGATGTTAATTGGCAAGTACCTGAAGCAACTAACGCGAAGAGTAGCTTCCAGCTCCGTAGGGGATTGCAATTCCAAACCGAGACACGCTTTGAAGTGATTCTTCGCGTCGCGTTGAATGGAATAAATCCTGCCGCAGAATTTAGTAAAACCACCCGGTAATGGTACACACACAGGCTTCGGATTCTTACCTGAAATTCATAATTATCCATGCATATACATTGATCTACGAATAATTTCTTTATAAAACCATTACTAAAATTAATTAAAAAAAATTACTATTTAAATTAATTTAAATAACATGTTTCTGATAAGAAAAACCCAAGTACAATATTTAAAATAATTTTATTAAAATGCGTTTTTGTGAAAATATTTTAAACGCGGCTAGATATTATCTATCTTCCAAAACTTTCGTTCTAAATTAAAAGACGAATCGACCGTGACAAGAGGAAAAATATACACAGCTGACGTTGACATCCTCAAAAAAATCGTCTGTGTAAATACTTTCGCCCCGACTAGATTGACACGGATTTGTCGATGGCGCCTATACGTCACTGTTGACTCCGTAATCTATCTGTTCACGAACGCGGAGAAATCGCGCATCCGAAATTGGCACGACAATATAAAAACTTGTTTAATATAACGGAGCAAAAATATTTTTAGTTATGCATAGTTCTTATTTGCATAGTTCCGCGTTCTTTAAAAGGGAGTAAGAGTTCAAAATGCTATATACACATCCTGTTGGCCACCTCTTATTGACATTAACATACGCACATCAGGTGAAAGTTGGATTATAGCTTCCTGGACATTACACTAATATGTGCCCACCAAACGTTGATTCACGTGCAATTAACACACTTTTCCCGCTGACATTGTCGAGCGCGTGATACATGTGTGCGATTTTTTGTCTTCTTTTACGAGATACATAACGTTAATTACCCATAAAGAGAAGCATAGACAATTTATTATCTATCTAGCCTAGTTTTTTTCATAATTTATGACAAACAACAAAACCAGTCTAAATCTACGATTATCGGAACATTAAATAAATGAAAAAAAAAATTATTCAAAAGACTGCATTAGAAAGTTTGTCGTAATTATTTAATGTTTTAATTTTGTTTCTTTACTTTTGTAATATTACGAATTATGTTTACAAACCTTGCCTATTTAAATTCACCAAATAATTATTTATAAAAAATATTGATTAATCAGAGAAATCTGGCAGGGAGAAAATTGTTAATCGTCAATTGTTATTAAATTATGATTGTGATTACCGTTAACGATCGTGCTGGTCAATATATTATCGCCAAAACTCAGTTGGACTGCCAAATTGTCACCCTGAAGATACTGCAGCGAAGCGCATCCTGGAATTTTAAAGATAAGATTTTTCTCATAACATAAAAAAATAACGCAATATATTTTATTACAAAGGATAAAATCTTTCATTCAAAATATGACATGAGACACATGTAGATGATTAAATGATGATAATGCTCTAAATGACAAATGCATTCTATTTGCGTTTCCGCTGCACTTTCATTTTTAGTATACAATTGCATTGCGTGATAATTACCCGGTCCTTTCAGCTGCACGACCGGTATGTGAAAGTCCCGACAGCAATTGCAGATATTCTCGTTACAGGTGCAATATCGGTTTACGCTGTCAGTGGCCTGCTTTAGCGACATCGTTGATAGATCTATATCGCTCTGCTTCGCACCATTCGCCGCACGAACTACCCGATGCAGCACTTCATTGCGATCTGTGAACATTTTTCTATTTAGTCCGTTTCAGACAGCTCACAGTTCGTGTCAAAATTCAAAGAATAGAATCGTGTTTATAATTTTATGTGCTGTAAAAATATTTAAAGTTATAAGAAATAATAAATTAAAGTAGATCTTGAATAATTCGAATTATTTAATTTTATATATGTGAATCTACGTCAAAATTTATTTTTTTCAAATTTTTATCGTATTTCTTTTTTGCTCTCTCTTTGCTCATTTTCTTTTCAAATTAATTTATCTCACCAATTACTCGACCGTAAGCCGCGAATGCCACTAACAAGAGAATTAGTAACAGCTCGAAGATCGTCGATAGTCGCATCCTGCTGCTTTGTTCTGGAAACAATGCCAAGAAGGAATAACGTGGTCGTAATATAACACTGTAAAAAATGTTCATTTCGTATGTAATGGCACGCGCGTTCCTGTCTCATTATCGTTTCTTTTGACCATTTAATGATAAAAAGTACGTCAACAGAAATTGTTAAAGCATCATAAATTATTCGTACGTGTGAATATTGAAATTACGCCGAGTATATTTCGTTATTACATGATTATAAACATTATTTTCAAAGACGAAATGTTTTTTAACAAATGATAATCAGTATATCTTAATGTGACTTTATATCTCACATTATGACTATATAACTGATACGATAAAATATTTATTTATAAACATTTTTTAAAATAATATAACTATGAAAGATTTCTTAATTAAAATTTCCTAAATTTCTCAGTTTTTTTTTAAATAATATAAATGAAATCTCTCAAAGCACGTTTCGTCAACTGAGCAACTTTTAATTTTAAACGCACAGCTTGCGCATTTAGCTTGCCAGGCACGAAAAACACATAAAAAAAATACATTAAACGTGTTTCTTCCTCATAATAATTTTTTCCACCTTCCTTAACCTATGATCTTCGCAAACAATAGAGACACTCGTTCCGCTCATCAATCGTCGAGATAGAGCGGCAATTTTGTGCCTTTCTAGCTCTCTGTTTCCATCAAACATTTCCTGATTCTATCCGAGGCCTATCCTGATATTTTTTTGTCTCTCGGATAAATAATCAAATTGTCACCACAAAGAGACATATTCTCCTTCCGGTTTCGAGCGCGAGTTCCTCTTGTACGCTCGCGACCGGTTGACCTACATCCCGGTCACGGTCAAAGGCGTACGTCAGAAAGGCGCATACTCGAGACTCGACTTAGTGGCACGATCGAGGAGACGCACGCGGCTTTACGCGCGGGAGAGACACACTCGTGTCACCGTTATAAAATGCGTTACATATGGTCAAGGTGCTGAATACGGTCGTTGCACGTCGCACGTCGTGTCGCACCCGTGAGCTCGATCGATCAACTCCTCATACGCGTCTCGTCCGGACAGACACCGAGTCACCGCGGAAGTGAGTAGTGCGAGAAGAAATAAATCAGCGCAAATGGTCTATGAAATGATTTCTAGGATTTCTTGCCATACCCACTTGCACTCGTTAGATTTCGTTAATTTGAAGAGAGATAAATGATAAATGTCGTAAACGAATGATTGATGTACACACGTTATATAATTACGTGTGGTGGATTTGGATCTTGCGGTATTCAAATTTAACGTAACGATGTACGTGTAATTTTCTTAATTTTCGAATGACTTATGTCAAGTTCTTGTCAATTTTATATATGCGTACGAAGAGATCTGGAAATATTTGTCAACTTTTTAAACTCTATTTCGTTAATTAAATCGCGTTAAATATAATTGTACATAGAAGATGCACTAAGATGCTCTAAGATAATTCAAAGAATCTTATATTCTTTTGTTGTTCTCATATTTCTCATATTTTTTTTATATGTTAAAAAAATTAATTGTCACGTGGAGCAATCTTCCGCTTTATTGCAGCGCGTTTCGCAGTTTCCCAACCCTCCGAACGAATAAATCGTACCTGACTCTAGTCACCTGTAGGCCGTCGAGAAGAAATCCGAGGGGGCAGCCGTGCTCGTGCTCTCCTGTCTCCTGCACCCTACGGCTCTTTTTCCCTGACTCTTCGTCTTACGGAGGCCAATGTCCAACTGAAGATGCCGCCCAACTCCCCCCAAGGTTTCTTTAAAAGTCGGTCAGGCCACCACCACCTGTCCGCCAGACCGCTGCTAGGATTATTAAACATTCTAATGCGCTCTAGGTAAATCAGAGGCGGCCCCACACCAACCGCGGTCGGGTCGCCCGCTTCCGATCTTCCGTCGTCCTTCATCGGACTCATCGGCATCGTCGTCGTCTCGACGACGAAAGCGGCAACTCCACTTTTTCCATCTCCATCTCCATCCGCGACCCGGTACCAGATGCCCATGGTGCATACGAATGAATGAAGATGGTCCCGGATGACTCAACACGTACGAAAATATCCGCGAGAGGGGAAGAAAGTCATGTCGGTGACTTCCGACATCTTTAATTGCGTCCGGATTCCGGCAGAAAAAGCGACAAGCCGGCGATACGACGATCTTCGCATGAGGCACTCACTCAAGTTGACGTTTAGATAGATTGCGTTATCATAAAAAAAAATTGAATGGCATAAGATATATATTGCTTTCCATATTGCCCAAAAAATATATTTTACAGCGATATATGTACGAAATAAATTTCGAATAATCAGAAACCATTTACAACTCCCTAATTTTTGGATTTAGTGTTTGCGAGATCACATTTTAAAAATTGCAATTTTTTAAATGTTATAAAATAAAAAAATGACTTTAAATCTTTTTGTTACCACGATTTAATTCAATTTTACGTGCACTGTGCAAGCGCTGATGATTTGCGCTGTAATAACGAGACCTACTATTTTCTTTTACGATGAGACTACAACGCATCGATGACTCGCGAAGCATTCACGATTAACGCAAGTGACATCAATTCTTTATTCGCACGGTACATACTAATTGCTTTGACATCCATATCACGTAATAGGCAAATTTCATGAACACAGTTTCCTGGTAATCATTAAATCTCTTTGAAATCTATTAGAAAGCTGCTGAAAGGATAATGAGCAAATAAATTATTCTTTATTGACAAGATTTTATATGTTACCTTGCAACTCTTCTTTAATGTTTTAAAAAAAGTCCTTTATAATAATAATAATAATAATAATAATAACAACACAAACAATAAATTATAATAAATTTTTTATATAATAAGAATTATGAATATTAAATATTATTATTATATTTATATTTAGATTTTTAGCCTTAAAGCAAGTAGCTTCGAAAGAAAATTGAAACCAAATGTGTAGGAAAGAGAATTAATATTATTAATCAAATTGTTTCTAATTTTTACGCGGAAATGGCACACGTCCATAAACTCGTGCCAGCCATGAATGCCACGGTTCGCGACACAAATTCTAACCAAAGACCCACTTTCGTGCGCGTCCAGTCTCTCGCGGGAGTTTCGTCGTCGTCGTCCGGGCGAGGAAAGAGAAGAATATCCGGAACGTAACGAAAGACACGACTGCAGCGCGAAATTAATGCACGCGCTCGCTCGTGCGTTTGTACATTCGTTCGTTTATTCCTGCATTCCTCCGTCCGTTCGTTCGCTTCCGATCGTGTTTTGGCGGTTAAGGAGGGGCCTTTCTCCAGTTAGTGGGTCGAAGAAAGTAGTGGCCAGGAGTGGTTCACCTTGGTTAATATTTGTTCGTTCATTCCCCGATAGCGATGATGTCCAGTTTTTTACAAATAGCCAATCCCTTTAAAACTTTCAGAAATAATACACGAAGAATACAGAAATAATACGCTCGGTACATACAATGGACAGCATAGAAATATTCAAAATTGTTTAAATGAAGAAAAAAAGTACAGATCATCTTAAAAATCCCAATAATAAACACGTGAATAAAAATTATGTAGGATGTTTTAAAAGCCAAAAAAAAAGTACGGATTTCTTCAATGATTAAATTAACAAAGCTGAGATTAACAAAACACATCACTATCGGATTATCTTGAGTTAAGTCGAGTTTTTCGAGAAAGACAAACGAGCCACGCGACCCGGAAACATGTAGGTCTTTCCGGGCGGGGGGGCAAACGAGTTTTTACGTAACATCGTGGGATAATCACCGTTCGGATGCTGCGTCCCGGCTTCTCTTCGCGATTGTATCGCAGAAGAGAAGAAAAAAAATTGCGGGTGATCCTGACGTGCAGTCTCGCGCGCGCCGACGATTAGATCCACGGAGCGATTAAGGCGGAGTGATCGCGTGTCCGTGACATTGATGTCTCGTAATGTTGACGCGATTATTCGTGCAATTATCTAACCGATCGTTTCCGCGGTGATGATCGATGACAGAGCAAATTATTTCCGACTGCTCGTCTTCTGACGTAACTCTGAAAGAGAAATCGCGTATTTTTTTTTTTCTTCAGCCCAGCACGTACGTTTTCGGAATCGCGGAAAATCGTAATCCATACACTTTACGATCTCGTCCAATCGTATACGTGGCGATCGACACATTTCGCATTTTTGTTTCTAATGCAAAAATAAATTTTGCAAGAGGATAGAGAAAGTCGCATTTTTGCTACTCTATAACGAATCGGGTCTATTTCAAAAAGGAATGTTCTCCTTCGAGGGAGAATGTCTTTTCACTGGGCCTCATTCTACGGTCACATTCAGCACACATTTCGTTCCGTTTCCCGTTTCTCGTATTCACGCGTAGCGAACCGCGCCCACGCTCGTCTAGAAAAGAAAAGAAAGGAAGATATTAGGAACGCGACAGGTTGTGCGATCGATAGGATGGAATCATAAGTGATGTTACAGTTCGCGAACTGGAGACCACGACTTTTCTTCAAACGGTGAAAGCTAAAGAGATCTCTAAGTGGAAAAAAGAAGAGAAGTACCCGGCGCGTTATTAAATTAGAAAACGCTCGCGCACGAAGGAAAATAAGCTTTTTTGGACGCGTTATACGCATTAGAAAGTGCTTCCTTGTTTACAGAACTTTTGCGCAGTACCCGTACAGAAATTTAGAGAGCAAGAAGTAAGTATCGATGATTAAACTCGAAAGTGGAACGTTTGACGATCTTGCAAAGTTATAAGTCACAGGTGCATGAGAGTTTAATGAAATATTAAAACATCTTTCAATATCCATTTGATCTTTTGGCCTACTGAATATATCTATTGATAAATAATTATCCTTCAAAACTTTTGAAAATTAATTATTATTAATATACATATATTTAATAAATATGTGTGTGTTTTTCGACCTTGTCATGAATAGAAAAATCATGCCAACATTTTAATAGACTTTAATAAGCTTCGTGATTAAGATTCACGCGCGAAAGCGTGAAGACACACGAGGTGACAATCGTTAGGAAAAATTTTCAGAGAGAGGGATACATTTCTATTTTTCCGTTTTCGACAAAATTTCCAGAAAATTGCCGATCTGTTGTATTTAAAATTGGAGCAAAACTGGAGCAGTTATAGCGTAAAAAAAAAACCGTCTGTTCAAGATCGCCTTGCTCCAGCATCGCGGACAGCAATTCCCGGAGAGTAGCCCAATGTCTTTTGTCCCCCATTCGTCGTAGCCCTATGTTGACGCGTCGCGGAGAAGCACGGCGCCGATGGCCGGCGCTCGTGAGATTCCCCCTCTGGTACCAGGCTGGTGGAGGAAGGAGGTCACCCGGTCACCCAGATGAGGTTCCTTGCCCGTCGTTTATTGCTCCCTCGTCGCGTCGCGTGATACAACGTCGGTG